TGTTTTATTGTCACTAGTATTTCTCAGACTGTATTTATGTTCGTACATTCTCTTTTTTAAATATTGTTTAGTTTGTCCTATATACGTATTATCACATTCTAAACAATTCACTCTACGTACAGTATTTAGTACATCCATTTTGTTAGTTTTTGGTTTTATAATGAAATAAACGATATTCAAAATTTTTTCTTCACACTTTGAGGCCCAGGAAAGATAAGAGTTTTATTTTACTTTGCATCTATCAGCTATAAGTTTCTACAAAGTCGCAAATGAAACAATGCAAAATTTGTGAGTTTCACGTGCTCTTAGTCGGACAAAAACATTATTTTTCGCATATCAACACCAAATTGTATTCAGATAAACCTCACACGGCGAAAAAAATTGTCACTCATCTCGTTTATTAAGAGTGAATATCACACAAAGATTTTGTTGAGATTTAATTGATTTTCAAAATTTAGGGCTCATGTTGCAGCTAAAACTGCACAGTCGACTTTAAAAAAATAATCAATATTCCGGGTTGCATGAATGGTCAAAATTAAGTAAAAAGTTAAAAAAAACTAAGTCAAGTAAACTTTCCTTCTGCCAGTCAAAAAGTCTGTCAGCTTTGCTGATTTTGGAAACAATTTTGATTTTGGTCATTTTTATGCAACCCTTGGAATTTTGTCTCAAATTGCCTATGAAGTTGCAGCTTCAACATGAGCTCTAGATGGTCAAAATCGGGCCATCCTGTAAATAGAAAAATGGCCTAAAAGTACAAAAATTGTTTCGAGTTATTTGGATTTACATTTTTGGGGGTGAGATCCAGCACATTATTTTTTCGCCAATGAGAACAAAATGGATTATTTGCCACCCTGTAGAAAATTTGCCTGAGATGCTTAGTGTTTATCAATACATTGACTAACAGGAAACAGATTGATGCAATCAGAATTTATACACTTCCAAAGGTAGAACAAATTTGGTTGTATAACGTTAATTTTGTTGAGCAGTTTGTATCTAAATTTCAAAGCACCATCGAATACGATCATGCTTTGCAAAATGCGTTCACCCGGTGTCTACTAACGTTAAAATAAATTATAAACTTCTTCCTACACACCCTTCATTCAAAACTCGAAGCCAATTTATAAAAATCTCCAACTTTATTAGACATTTGACAATAAATAAGTTAATAAATTACATTTTACTTTCTGGAACATATCCGTTGTAAGCCAACTGTTGTGGGCTGTCATCCGAGCGATGATAATGATGATCCCATGGATCATGATGGTGGTCATGATGGCTTTCATGGTAGACGTGAGGAACGTGAACATCGTGCACAGATTCATGCACAATATGCGGGGCTTGATGATGATCGGAGAACTGTGAAAAGTATATTAATTCAAAAAAACCATCTACAAAGAACGCTGCACTCAAACCTTAGCACATAACTTCCATACTGCTAGAACTATAGAGGTGACAAATGATACAAACGATAGCTGCAAAGCATTCCAAGTCTTGATTCCCAGAATACCCAGAGCTAGCGGAATTAGTGTAATAGCTTTCAAGAGCAAAACTATCAGGATGGGAGCCAAAATCTTCTTGACTTTGGACTTCTTACGAGCTGCAAAGGAGTTTCATTTTAAGTAAATATCGCTCACTACAAGGCGTATAAATGTCCTGCCTTGCACTTCATTTCCTGATCCAAGCCGCAACTTTAGGTCTACTTCTTCATTATCAAAATTTCTACCACTAACTGTTACGGTTGTTCCAAAAGGAAGTTCCATGGCTACTTCATTGGATTTCATGAAATTTTCCGTCGCATCTTCGATGGAATTTCCCAAGTTTCTACCATCCCGCGCTTGGCTGATTTGTGTGATATTCACACCTCCGCCCACCTAAGTGACAATATTTCTTTCAACTGCTGAAAATGTTGTCGATTTCCTAATTAATTATTTACCTGTAAAAACTCCTTAATTTCTGAAAAGTCTGAACTTTCAGCCGACACATGGCTTTGCCAAGTAACGAAAACGATCACTAGAACAGTTAACCTACCCATTTTTCTGGCACCAGCGACTGAATGCCATTAAAAAGCTTATACCTAATTTATATTGCGATCTACCAAAATAGGAGTGGTGGAATACTTAAAATAAATAGAGAGTAAACGTCTAAATTCCTCCAGCCCTACTGCTTTTGAATATCTGATTAGAAGATGGGAAATTGGAATTATGGGTTACTAATTTGTATTCCATGAGTGGCGGGCTGATATTGAAAAGAAGAGTTTTGGAAACATCGTGAAATATGATTTGCGCAATTTAAACACTTTCGCTTAAATCACCACTTGAGTTTCAATAAATTGAAAAGGCGCATTTAGCCCGTCTTCTCTAATGCCTTTGGCAAAATTTATAAATTAGTCGTCAGGGTTTAGTTAAATCAAGTAAAAGAAAATTGGTTGATTTCAGGTTTAGGTTTATTCAAAAATAAATTAAAGTTTCAACACATCACAGGAATTCTGTACTCAGTTTCGGGCAGGAGCATATCCGTTGTAAGCCATTTCGATGCCTTCCACTTGATCGGCTCGGGCAGCTGCAATATGGTGATGATGGTGAGGATCGTAACTTTCGTGAATAACTTGAGGTTGTGGATGATCGCCGTTCACTTTGGAGCAAAGTTTCCACACAGCCATCGCCAGAGTGGTTACGAAGGAGATGAAAGAGAGCTGAATGGCGTTCCAAGTTTTAAGTCCCAGGATTGCGAGAGCCAGAGGAATGAGAGTCATCGCTTTGATCAGAATGAAAACCAGGATGGGGACGAAGATTTTCTTGATCTTGGACTTCTTGCGGGCTGAAAAAGGAACTAGTCAGAATTTTGTTTTTGATGCTGTTGCGGGTGTTACCTTGGACTTCGCTGCCGCTGCCGAAGTTCAGCTTGATCCCTAGTTCTTCGTTGTCCAAATTCCTGCCAGCCAACGTAACAGTGGATCCAACAATCGGGAGTTTGAAAGAGATGTCGTTGGATTTGATGTAGTTTTCAATGTAGTCTTGAACGGACACATCGTTGCTTCTTCCGGATGTGGCTTTAGTTACCTCCAAGTCACTTCCTACCTGAAATTCCCAATTTTGCTGTTATTTTCAGAGGACTGAAAAAATCTGAAAATGTTTACTTGAAGAAGGTTGTCCCATGATGAAGACTGAATTGCAGGGGATGCATTGCAAGCTGCAACGAAGCACAATACAACTACAAAGCAAGTCTTCATTTTCAAAGAACTGTTGCGACTGAATGGATACTGTTAGACACCCTTAATATGTATTTATAATACAGTTAAAGTAGGGGCCTGATAGTATCAATCATAAGCCAAATATGAATTGTTACAATTAGTGTAGTAGAGCTTTCGTAATCTGGATTAGCATATTATTTTTAATTTAAGGATGTTCGCATAAGGACAAGTCGCTTTTAAAATTTGATTAGATATGCGCGATGGGTCCTCACGAGAGAAACGTGCTAGAGCATGGAAGTATTCAGACAATTCGATTTGCATCAGTTTTTTCGATTGATGGCAGTAGGTTAGCGAGGGAAATGGGGTTTGTGGAGACTTTTTCATTTTAGAAATGCTTCAGCTATAATTCATCTGTTTGGCAATCTTTGATCTAGAACTACCTTAAGTGGGATTTTTAATACACAAACTTGATTTTAAGAGCTTACTTATGCTACTGAAGATTTTTATTTTAGACTCAACAGTCAAGATTCCTCGTAGTTTTCGCACTCTTTCCTTTAATTAGAGATATAGTTGCAACGTCCGTGCTGTTTTTGCAGGTGGACCATTCAGAATCTTAAAAATCTATCGGGAGAAACAGATTTTCTATAAAACCTAATTGAAAGGAAAAGGGACATTAAAGCAGCAAACATTTTTTGTGTGCAAAAGCTGATTAATTCAAAAAATCAATTGGAGAAAAGTTGGTGGCTCCATGAAGTAACGAATCGTTTCCATCGAGTAATTTAATTAAAGTATAATTATTGGCTATTAAGATACAAATAAACTTTTAAAGAACTAATAGGTTTATTATTAAATTCTTGCACAAACTGCGCCTTGTCTCTATTGCCTAAGCGAGAAGTGACAATCTGGCTGTTGTCGCGTCTTCATAGTTATTCCTGATATATACTGAAATTCCTCTATCGACTTATGCTTGGAATGGATTTTAAAGTTCCGTATTATTAAAGCTATGGTGATTTTCATCATAGCCATTGCTTGCGCTTTCCCTGCAAATCATGCCCAAGTTCATATGACCTACACAATGCGAAATATTCTACCAATGCAATCCCTGGGTCCTGTGGAGAATGGGATGAAGGTGCCAGGTTGGACTTTACTGATGTTTTCTGGCAGGAATCTGTTGGGATTAAATTTGAGAGGGTCTGGCCAATATCGGTTATCTCTATGGAGGTCGAAAATTGAGGCGGCAAAATGAGTTCCTCTTGGTATAACTTTGTGCCCTGCAAATCCACAGTTGACGGCAACTTATAGAAAATGAAAACCGATTCACTCATTTACCTAAGTCGATGTCTTTGTCCAAAACCCTACCAACAAACGGGACCACTGGAAAAAGCCGCAAAGTTTCATTAATCACCGCTTCAGTGTATGAAAGCTTTAATAGATCGTCGAATGTGATGTTACTGCCAACGCGAGTTATTTCTTCCAATAAGGTTTCCTGCAATTTAAATATTGTTCTGAAACTGGAATGTTTAGTCTGTTATAAACTTTTTTTACTTGCACATCTGGAAACATTCCTAAGAAAGTAAACGCCATCATTAGCGTATGTCCTGTGGTATCAGTTGCCTAAAAAGATGTGGATCGGATGAAAACTATACAAAGTGTTATTGTGTGAGTCTTACCGCAGCTGCGATAAAAACCATATCATTAAACAAATCTTTTTCACTTATTATTGATTCTTTAAGGCTCGTCATTAAATCGAGCAGAGGCAGTTCAGCATTGTTATCTTCACTGTGAAAATCAGCTAAAATTGGGTTGAGTTTTTATGTGGACATCCAAAAGGGGACTTAAAAATGCCTTACCTTTAGCGTCGGCTCTTTGATGCATTTTCTTTTCCAGAATCTGTAACAATTTCGTAAATAGAAGGAAGGAATTTGTTGAGCTTGACAAGTACATTTTACGCTAGCGTTCAAGTTTAAAAGATCTTTAAGGTATAAAAAATTATGGATAATTTAATATACCTACCTGTTTGATAATAGTTCTAATTGTTTTTATTGCGTTTGCTGTTCTGATTCCACCAGGATGAAGATGATACCATAACATTACATGAATCAAGGGATTTACCAGCTTTTTAGCCAAATCGTCTTCAAATCTGAAAAATCCAAATAAGTGATTTCGGAATATACAGCGGGTTTACTAAAGCTTGCTCTAAAAGTTTGTCTGCGAATATGTTCAAACTTCCAGGCTCCTCGTTCAGTCCAACTGAAGTTGCTGAAAGTATAAAAATTCGTGCAGAATATTACCAAATTTTACTGAAAGTTGTAACTTACTGAAAAAGTTTTTGAATGTTAACCTATTAAATGCGTCGTAGGACATTGCAAAATCACTTTTTTCTTTCCTCATATTGTCTATTTTGTCCAAAGCATTCTGAAAGTAATCTGAGCAATATGACTTCAAAGTGCTCGGTTTGAAGCATTTCATGTATGCTTTTCGGCGTATTCGCCAGTCTTTATCTAAAATTAGAATTTTTAGTTCAAATGCTACAAAGTGAACTATAAACCTACAATGGGCTATTAGCAGGGAATTAGGAAAAAGATAGGCAATATCATCGTATACGCTTGCCTTATTTTGAGCACTTAGATTGTGAAGAACGGTTTTGATGTCCATGGGATCTTTCGTGAAATAGTAGTAATCAAATATCATCCATACGTTATATGGAAAACCCACTTTGCTTCCTACATAACTTGTGGCGGTAATCACATCTAAAAGCAAAAATTTTATTTAATTTCAACTTAAATTGATATTGCGAAACTGTAAACATTAGTTGGATTTGCTACTTACCAGTACAACCATACATTACTGGAAGATACATTGTACCGATAACAGGCAAGATTGGAGCAAAGAACGCATTGTTTTTCCAAGAAAATTTGATAAAGCGCCATTTCCAAAAAATGAAAACCGTGTAAAATATAAGCAAAGTGATCAAGATAAAATACATGGTCAATCTTAAATGGCCGAAACACGTGGAATTTTCTTCAAGTTTACTCAGTTATTGCCTCCTTTATATATTCGATGTGCGATTCTAAATAATTGCGTAAATTTTACAAACAAATTGAGGAGGTCAAAAAATTTGATTAATTAGTTTGGGTTAGTAATAGTGTTTTGGCATCGTGTGTTTAATGAACTAGCTGAACTTTCAAAAGTGTATAGAAAGGACTAAATAAATTTTGCAATCCTGAACTCTTCTAAACTCAAATATCTGGAACTTTCTGGCTCGTATGAATTTTTCTTTACATATGGATAAAATGAAATAAGGGGCAATTTTGTCAAATTTTCCCTGAGCAGATTGGCCTGAGTTGTGCCTAACGTTTTTTAATTACAGGAGCACTGTGTAGCAGCTAATGTACTTTAAACGTTCAGTCTTTTAAATGTGAATTAATAGTTGCATTTTCGCTGGTATCATGATCTTAATTATGTAATCAATTAATTTTAAACGACCTTCGAATCTGAGCCATCTTAATAATCTAATGTTTTTGAAGGCAACATTATACCTAAATGAGTCGAGAAATACGTACGAGGATATGAATAATAAGTAATAATTAATTAAAAACTACAGTATAAACAATCAAAACAACGAGGTAAATTCTTTATTCAGAATTAAAAAAAAAGATTCTTAAACTGTATCTTTGTAAATATGAATTTGTTCCCTACTTGAACTAAACTTGCAGCTGAATACAAATGACAAACCAAAAAAGCTAAGAAACAATCAAGGAAAATCAATGAAAATTTTGTTATTATCGCGGCGAAAAGCCGAAATTATAATACATAATTAATTAGTCTCAGTGCAGTGTTTTTTAAACTCGGACCAAATTTTTTAAACTCGTAACTTAAATGTGCAATCTAGTGGATGTCGAGTTTTCATAGTTATTCCTGATGTGTACTGAAATTCCTCTGTGGGCGTATGCTTGGAATTAATGCGAAAAGTTCGTACTATTGAAGCGATGATGATTTTCATCATTGCCATTGCTTGCGATTTACCTGGAAATTGATCTTCAGTTATAAATGTTCATGTATTACAGGTATATTTACCAATGCAGTCTCTAGGGCCAGTGGAGAAAGGAATAAACGTGCAAGGCTGAATGTTCGCAACATTTTCTGTCAAAAATCTGTCGGGATCAAATTTCAAAGGGTTCGGCCAGTATTTTTCGTCTCTGTGTAGGTCCAGAATTGAAACCCCGAAATGAGATCCTCTTGGTATTACTTTGTCACCTGCAAATCCAACCATAAATGCTACTACATTGAGCATTTATTATTTTACCTAAATCGATGTCTTTTTCCAATACTCTGCTCAGGAATGGAATCACCGGAAAAAGCCTCAGAGTTTCATTAATCACTGCTTCGGTATAAACGAGCTTTGACAAATCATTGAAAGTTAGTTCGCCGCCAATATCGGTTACTTCTTCGTACAGTTTTTGCTGAAATTAAAAATTCTCTTATGAAGCTGAAATATTTCGCATTTTAATATCGTTTACCTGCACATCCTGGTAAATTCCAAGATAGGTAAACGCTGCCATTAATGTATGCCCCGTGGTATCAGTTGCCTGAAAATTTTTATTTTGATGACCAAAATTGATTAGGATTATTTTTTTTACCGCTGCAGCAATGAAAACCATGTCAGTAAATATATCTTCTTCATTTACTACAGTCCTCTTAATGTTCATCATTAAGTCGAGTAAAGGTTGGTCCAGGTCGGTGTCTTCAAAATGAGTATTATCTAAAATGTTATTCCCCCTTTATTGAGGCGCAGAAACAGTTTTTACCCGCATTAATTACCTTCCTCGTCTCCCCGCAGCTGAAGTTTTTTCTCCTGAATCTGTAACACACATGAGGTATTTTTCCCGGAATTTATTGAAGACTCAGTTGCGTGATTTGATGTTTTACCTGTTTGATAACTGTTTTAATTGTATTCATTGCGTTTATTGTCTTTATTCCCCCCGGATGAAGTCGAGACCATATCGACATGGGAAGCAAAGGATTGAGCAGCTTTTTACCCAAGTCCTCCTCAAATCTGTTGAAATGTTGCAAGCAATTAATAAAATCACAATGCACTAAAAGTTGCAACATACTCTAACAGTTTGTCTGCGAATATACTAAAATGTTCCGGATTCTGGTTCAAACCAACTGAAGTAGCTGAAAACGCACCCAAAGACCTATCTAGGTGTTAATGTGAAAAATTACCAACTTACTGAAGAAGTTCTTGAATGTGAATCGGTTACACACATCGTATGAAATGGCAATTTCTCCCTTTCGATTTTTGAACTGTTCAACCAGGTCGGCACTGTTTTGGAAATAATCTAAGCAGTAACGTTTTAAAGTGCTCGGTTTGAAGCTTTTCAAATACTCTTTGCGGCGGATTCGCCAGGTTTTATCTGAAACACTTCATATAATATTCTTAAAAATAAAACATCGGTACTTACAATGCGTTGTCAGCAGTGAATTTGGAAACAGATAGGCAATGTCATCATAAACGCTCCCCTTATTTTGAGCACTTAAATTATGAAAAACCGCTTTTATATCCAAAGGATTTTTCGTTATATAGTAGTAATCAAATGCTATCCACACGTTGAAAGGAAATCCTAGTTTGCTCCCTACAACTCTCACGGCAGTGACCACATCTAAGAAAAACACAGTTGTCTTTAAAAGTGCGATGATTTAGTAAAAAACACTATTTTGGACCAGTTTTGGTGTATACAGTACTCACCCTTGCATCCGAAGATTACGGGAAGATACATGGTACCGATAAGAGGCAACAGCGGAACGAAAAACGCATGGTTGTTCCACGAAAATTTGAAAAATCGCCACTTCCATATCAGGAAAAGAGCGTAAAAAACGAACGAACTTAACAGAATAATATACATAGTTTAACTTGAGTGGATGGAAAAGACTGCTGAAAACTTCAAGCTAGTGTGTCTCAATAATAAAATTCTATTAAGAAAGGCCACTGTCGAGGCCACAATCAACAACATTTTTCTTTAAAACTCGAACTAGTCTATTGTAATGATTAGTAATTATGCTAATTGCAAACTGAAATACCTTTGATTTCCTCTTTAAAAGAACAAAATTAGTGAATCATGGATTTTCTCGAACTACAAAATATTCCTCGTAGAAGTATTCTTTTTATACGCATACATACAAAAATTGTCTACTTATATGTTGTATTTGTTGGGCACATAATTAACCATTTTATTTTATTTAGTGGGTTTCTGATACAACTACTTCAAGCAATTTATAGCAATACAAACATGCTACAGTTAAATGCTTTGAAATTATTTTATCATATTTTTTAAACGGAAAATATTGCACAGAAATAGCTGTTATGAACTGGTTAAGTGGAAACATTTACAGTACAGTCCTGATTTTAACTACTATATCGAATAGTAATTACGTTAATCGCAAATTGAGAGAGCAAATTGTGAATTCCTAAAATACTTTTGCTGATTTCCCTTTCAACAGAATGACTTAAGACAGCAAAATATTCATCGTAGAATTTTGAATGGATTTTCTAATTTTAAAACGGTTGTTTGCATTTAAGCTCCCTTGGAATATATGTAAATCATTCATTGTGCAGTTAACCAACAATTTTATCCTTTCTACCAACCTAATATACAATAGTTTTTCTATTTGGTTGATTTAGAAAGTATGTATGTGTTTATAAGAACGTTATAATGGAAACATTCAAAATTGAAACGTCCCGAAATAAATTTTATTATATTTTGTTCAACATGAAACCTGAAAAAATGAATTGTGCGTGAACTGGCCAACTTGAAACATTCGCAGTGCAGTTTTCGTATTGTTGATTGTCATTGATTTGTTTCTTTAATTTGTCGTGGCATTGAACGTTTCTGATACAACGGTTAATGTTTGCAAAAAATTACTATTATTCCAAATTAATTTTGCTTTCAGTCTATTACTTTGGGTGCTTCAACCATTCACATATTCGCATCAAAGCAAATTTATGCTGACAATTCTATTTGCAGTGTAAAATCGTGTTCAATTGAGATAATTTACAGTATTTTAGAAAAATATCAATTAAGCTGAACTGATGGAAAAATTGAAAAAAATCGATCTGAAACATTCCAGTTCAGTTTTGCAGACCTACAGTGTTTAGAGACCTATACCTGAAAAAAGCGTGAAATAATCAAAATGAGAAAATCTTTCAATAAAAAATAAAATCAATTATGTAATGATGTATGTATGTAATAACGTAATGTTTAATAAATTAAGTAATGGTTTTTGAACAGTTCTAAAGGCTTCTTTAAGACATATTAGAAGTTCTAGAAGTAGAATAAAAAAATTTGTTCTCAATTTTATACGTTCATGTCTGTTATTTTCTGTAAAAAATGCAAAGAGCATAATAGAAAAGTATTGGCGATGAATGACTGCGAAGTGTAGAAATCCGAATTATGAAGCGAGATTCTTGGTGCTTGAATGCATGAATGAACATTTTATTACTGGAACCTTCGGAATCCCAATTTCAGGAAACGTGTTTTACGAGTAATTACCAGTAAATTGTGGGATTGAAGTAGGGATCGAATTATTTTAAAATGAAAGAACACTGAAATTAATTAATTTTTTATAAAATGTTAAGGGTGAGTGTCTAAAAAATTACATACATTTTGAAGATTAAGCTCAGAAGACTTTTAACTGCAAACCGAAGCTCTTTTTTAATCCCTTGGTGTAAAGTGGCAATCAAGTGGATGCTTAGTTTTCAAAGACAGCGAAGACATCAGCTCAAATTCGTCAATGGATTTGTGCTTGGATGAAATTTGGAAGCTTCGTACAATGGACCCGACTGAAATTTTTAGCATAACCATCGCTTGGGCTTTTCCTAGAAACCCACAATTTTCGTAACATATTTTTTTTGTAAGCATATTTTCATACCCAAACAATCTCTGGGACCGGAAGAAAATGGTAGGTAAGAATATGGCGTTATCTTGCTGATATTTTCTGGCAAGAAGCGGTCAGGGTCGAATTTCTGCGGGTCTTCCCAATACTTTTCGCTTCTGTGCAAGTGGAAAAGGGACAAGACAACGTTGGCGCCTTTGGGTATTATCTTGTGCCCTGAAAAGTAAACGCCCGAAATAAATGTTGATGCCTATTTTGAACAGTGTTTGCTTGCCTAAGTTAATATCTTTGTCCAATGACCGGCTTAATACTGGAACTACTGGAAGCAGCCTCAGCGATTCGCTAATAAATGCCTCCGTGTAAATCAGCATGGAGACATCATCCGGCAAAATGTTATTTTCTCCTACAAGCTGTATCACCTCGTCGTATATTTTTTGCTACAAAATAAAAAATCAGCATGTCAAAGGCGGAAGGAGTTTCCTGCTTACTTGCACTTCAGGATACATTCCTAGTAAAGTGAACATAAACATGAGTAAATGTCCTGATGTGTCTGTAGCCTGTTAGAACAAAAACAATTTTTTTCCTTTAAAACTCAACGCCATTCTGGAATTTACTCACAGCAGACGAGAGGAACATTAGATCGTCAAAAATATCTTCATCTGACAGTATGCCACCTTTTAAGCTCATCATCAAATCCAATAAAGCGGGCGTTTCTTCATTGGCAACGAAACCTTAAGCATATAAAACTTTATTTACTGAATTTGCCAGTACGTAAGTAACTTACTTTTGAAGTCCTCCCTTTGGTTGTTTTTGTCGCGAAGAATCTGTGAAGCAAACCGTGTGTTTTAATACTGTAAAATAACATAGGGATTTGGTATAACCTCCTCACTAATTGACCTGAGTTCCTTAACCTTTCTAGCAACAATTTTTCCTCCAGCTTGAAAGCGCAGCCATAAAGATGCAGGAATTAAAGGATTGAGCAGTTTGCGAGCCACATCTGATTGGAATCTGGAAAACATCAGGATGTTGGTAGAAGCAATAGAATTAATGATAACATTTGCAAATATAATTTGTTAGAAAACTTCATTATATATCATTAAATATTTTTTTAATGTTTATTACAATTTAACGACTCGAAGCTCCCAAATGCGTGGCATATTTGTTAATTACCACGTGAAAAGTTTGTTTCCTGTGTAGATGCCAATGTTATAACATGCATTATGTATAATTAATTGAATTCTGATTTTCGATAATAACGTATGTGTGACTTACTCCATTAAACATTCTCCAAACCTATGCATATTTGTGGGCTTCTTGTCCAGAGCTATTGAAGTTGCTGAAACAATAAAGTAATCTGTACTATTCTTCGTCTAATTGTCTAGCACTTACAAAAAAAGCTATTGAAGGCATATTTGGTAAAGGTGTCGTATGCTATCACAAGTTCTCCATTCTGGCGTTTTACTTCTTTAATAAAATCGCAACTATCTTTATAATAGTCTAAAGAAAATGGCTTCAGGCTGGCTGGTTTGAAGCTTTTCGCATATTCCTTTCTACGAAGTCGCCATTTGTTGTCTAAAAAAAAATATAGCTGTACTTCCACTGTTCTGATCTATTAAGGGCGCTGTTTTATGCAGGCTTAGAAAATGTAGAATTCCTACTAGTCCTTACAGTGTATGGTTAACAGGGAGTTCTGGAACACATAAGAAATATCCTGATAGGTAAATCCTTTATTCTGAGCACTGATGTTGTGCAGAATCGTCTTCACTTCCTGGGGGTCTTTGGTAATATAGTGATAATTATGTCCTAGCCACAAGTTGAAAGGAAACCCAAACACATCGTCAATGAATGTTAAAATGCCGACAACATTGTCTGGAAAGATAAATTTTTTTATCATTAGAACTGAATATTACACACAGTTCGAAAGCTTTGGCCGGATTAAGATAAATGTTACGCTGTTTGGTATTCAGTCGGTAATAAAAGTATCAAAAGCAGAAAATTATTTAAATTGAATTGATGGCAAACTTGCTAAAAACTAAACATAGCTAAAAGTTATAACTTTAATTTTGCAAAAGAAATGTTGACAAATGTTTTGATTAAATTAAAAATACAAAATTGAAACAAAATCAAAGTGAACCAATTCCAAACAATATTAGAACTATATTGAAAACTGAAAAGATAATTAGCAGTAAAAACTCCAAACACAAAAGTTTATCGTTAAATTAAAAATACAACCAACGTAATTTTCAAAAAAATTAGCGAAAAAACCATAAACAGAAACACGCAAAATTATAGAGACGCCTTTCATTTTACCACATAAATTTTCTAAATTAATTTCTTTACTAATCGAAATTATTCTATTATATGATGACTTGTAAGAGATGTAATAGAATAGTGGGTAATTGAAAGTGCAGGAAAATTCGTCTATTTTAAAAGGCACACATTTTGAGGCAAAGTATTCAAGGATATATATAATATTTTCAAAACATTAATTCACCTCATGCATATACAACTTATCTACAGTTAAAAGTGTTTTATTCTTTTCAGAAAATGCAATATTTTTCATGACTATACTAACCTGTACATCTAGCAATAATCGCTATATAGATGTTACCAATTCCAGGCAAAAATGGCAGAAAAAACGCATTGTTTTTCCAAGAAAATTTAACAAATCTCCAATTCCAAATTATGAATGACACGTAGTATAACAGCAGTGCCTCAGCGAGAAGAGTTCCCAGCCACTTGAAATCAAACATTTTAAATACGAACTCAATAAGCTGAAAACCAAAAAACCGAAACTGAATGAATTGATATTCACCAGCTCTTATAACGACTAATTCACATTTAGGTTTTTCCTTATTACGTTTTCCCAATGTTAGAAGACCATTAACTAAACCTGAACTAAGCACATTAACAACATTAATAGCCTTTAAGCAAATGGGCTCATTAAAGAATTAGCGATCAGGATTCCCAAAAATTACGTTCTTCAACACTTCAGTTGAACGGTCTAAGAACTTTAGAGAATGTTTAGCAAACTTCAAGAGCAAACTTTCACTTGAACAATAAATGGAATGGAATCAGCTGGGCATTTTTTGTACCATTTTTATCACCTGCATAATAATTAACTCTCAATGTCTTTGCAAGGCGAACTCAAATAATAAAAAAACTGCATAAATTGAGCAATAAATAAACATATATTAACCATCAATTACAAACTAAAATCTATTGCACGTAAGCTGAGTAAGCCAGTTGTTGCGAATCATCTAGCGATCTCTTGTACTGTGCTGGTGGATGGTCCAGAATAACAGGAGCGTGCGAATCTGAAGCCAGTTTCTGGCACAATTGGAAAATTGCCAAACCGGAAGCAATCACGAAAGACATCAGCGAAAGCTGAAGACCGTTCCATGCCTTGAACGCCAGAACTCCGATGATGAAGGGAACCACTGTGATGGCTTTCAGCAAGATGAAAGTTAAAATGGGAATGAAGACTTTCTTTAGCTTGTGTTTCTTGCCGCGTTCTGAAAAATATAAAAGAAAATTGACAACACTGAAAGTCAGCAAACGATTTTGCGCTCACCTTCCACCTCAGAGCCGAAGTTCAGTTTGAAATTGATTTCATCATCATCAAGCTTTCGGGAATCTACAGTCACGTCTCCAATAACTGGAACTTTGAAAGTAACGTCGTTTGATTTGATGAAAGTTGCAACAGCCTCTTCCAGGGAGTCTTCTGATCTTTTGGTGCCAACTTCATTGTCGTAACCGTTGCGACTGATCGCCACGTTTTCCGATAAGTGCTGAAAAATGCCACAAGTGATTAGATCTCAATTTTCCAACAGATTAGTTGTAGAGCTAGAAACAGAAACAGGAAAATAATTACTTCGAAATAACTTCCATGAAGCACATTATCCAAAAACGCGAATGCTTTAAACTGAATGCATGCAAAGCTATTATTTTCGGCACAACTATCTCTCAATTTCTCTACCGTTGAATCCAAAGCGGTTCCTTTCCAGAATTCCTGTGGGGCTCCATGGACTAAACCGGCTAAACACAAAACCACTAAGCACTTGAACGACATTTCTATTTCTTAATAAACTACTGACTAGAGTTTCTTTGGTGTAGTGTATGGCTGAATGAGCAACAGAATCAACCTGGCTGTTTTATATTAACTGTAAATAAACGAAAGTTCATTTAATATTAATGAGGGATGCCTAAAAAAGAGGTCTAATCGCTGTCCAATTTGGTCGCAAATTGTAACTCATACATCCTGATACTTATGATATTCAATGTGCATATAAATGCTGCAACCTAACTGTTCAAACAGTGATAGCAACTGGTTGAAAAAGTTTGTAAAGTACAGATTTTTGGAATCACGCTAATTTGTAAAGGACGGTTTCATAAATCGTTGCCTTTTAAAGTTGGGATTTTTTCTTTCTTTTTCTCTCTCTCTAAAGTTTTTTTCAAAATTTTTCAGTTTTCGTGGAGACAAACGAGCAATGTCTTTTAGAGTCTTTTTAAATGTTCTTCTCGCTTTAATCTAAAGCTAAAACGTCGTGTTGATGCAAAAAGGCGCGATGTTTCAGTCAATTTCGCTAAAACTGTACATTTTTATAAGAAACCTGTAAATATTTCCTATGTGATACTTTGAATGCTAATGTGCAATTTTATTCCCTATTGAGAGGTGAAGAAATTAGGGCGCCTGCTCCATTTGTTCCGAAAATATGAGCAAAAAGGTGGCGCCATGTTTAAAGCGAAGGCCTTATCTTGTACATGTGTGAGAAATACCTAGATTTCACTTTTTCTGTGAAGATTGCCAGCATATCCCAACTCAAGATTCGCTTGGTTAATAAACTTTTGCATTATCTATTGAGTGGTAGGGAAACGAGCGACTCTAATGGTTCTTCAGATATCCCGAAAATGCGCCACCGTTCCTGAGTCAAGTTTCACATGTTGTTAAAACTGAGTGGGACTAAAAAGTTTAAATTTGTATTTTTGTGTGAAAGCTGCCAATATTTTTCAAGTAATTTTTTAAGTGAAAAATCCAATGAGAGCTTCAGCTCAATTTGTGCCTGATAACGCTTCATACTTGAAATCTTAGCCATACTCCAGATGAAGATTCTCCAGATGAAAATGTATCTAATTTTCAAATGTATGCGACTAAGATATATTCCATACAAAAAATCAGTCTTGTTAGAACCAATTCAATTTTCATCCAGAATCCTTTTGCTGCTTTGACAAAGCACGAGCTCTGCGACTATTCCCATACTACCAAAATCCAACAAGGCAAACAACAAATAATGCAAAAAGCTAATCGAAAAGCGTTTATTTTGAGGTCACAACGTTCATTAAGCAGCTTTACTGCACATTAAATTACATTCAATAAATATTAAAAACTACTATACATTCAAAGAGTGCTACTGCGTATATGCAGAATATGCCAAATTTTGAGCGTCATCACTGTCCAAAGATCGGGCGTAGTATTGTTGGGCTGGCCAAGCTTCGTGAGCTGCAATTTGAGGAGCGGCACCGTCAGCTGCAATTTTCTTGCACAATTGGAAAATGGCAAGTCCGACTGCAATCACGAATGAGAAGAAGGACAATTGGACGGCATTCCAGGCTTTCAAGCTGAGAATTCCTAAAGCCAGAGGCACTAGAGTGATGGCCTTCAGCAGGACAAATACCAGGATGGGGATGAAGATTTTCTTCAGCTTGGATTTACGAGCTGCAAAGGAATGGGGCTTTAGAAGCACTTCGGGGAACTGTTTGAGATTATTTGCCTTCTTCTACTCCAGTTCCGAAGTTGATTTTGAAATCCAGCTCATCGCTGTCCAAGTTCCTGGCTTCAACAGTTACTGAACCAACAGCAGGGATTTTGAATTCGACATCATGACTTTTGATGTAGTTTTCCATCTTGTCTTCGTAATCATCGTTGCTTCTGCCACTTGATTCGCTTGATCTGTATGAGTTCTTAGATACTTTCACATCATCTGAGAACTAACGGATGCAATGTGAATTTCAGTTTTGCCTGAGCCCTCGACTTACCTCATGATTATCCTTACTGAGAAAGTCATCGAGAAAAGCCACAACATATTCCTTGATGTATCCCAAAGGATCAGATTCGAAGCTCAGAGCCTTTTTCTCCGCTACTGGCGAAGCACACGCTAAACTTAGGAAGCCAATACCAAAACAGATGAGGAGCTTCATCATACCGTCCCAAGCCAAAACTAATTACCGAATGGTAGCCTAAAAACACACCCTTCCGTTTTATAGCGGTGACCTGGAGGAAGTGTTTTTGCGTTCAATTCGATCGGTTCTTATTTGGGAAATTGATGTCGAACATTTAAAAATTTCCTACCAGTCAAATCCGGGGCCCCACTGTTTGCATACTAAGTGTACGTGACGGCATTAAAAGCCATTGTCAATTGGAGGCTGCTGATATTGGTATTCAGGATGCAACTGTATTTTTTGTATTGTGGATCAATTTTACTTTTGTGCTTTCCAATCTCATCTTGCTGGTTTTGGATTTGGTTAAGAGTTTCATTATCTGGTTTTGATGAGTTTTCTCAGAATTTTGGGTTTCTGGCGGTTTAAGTTGGCAGGTTCCTGGAAATTAAGGTTCTTCAGAGTGTCGTCTTGACAAAACATTGGTTGATGTAAACGTGTTCTTCAAAGAACCTAAACCGGCAGTTAAGTTGCTAATATTTTTCAATTGCATTACTTTCATTAAGATGTGCACGTAAAGGAACTTTATTAAAATATTCTTGATGTTTCCGAAGAATATCCATCCTCTGGTTGCACTATTTCTCCTTTTAATCTAAATGTTAATGGTATGAGGGTTTTGTCTCATTTGTACTATCAATTCTAGGTTTTCTTTTACATATTGCGTAAGACCTAATGAATATGTTAAGTTGGTGGAAAATGAGCCATAAAAGTTGACTCTTGGATAGATAGAGAAAAAGTTTCCATTTATGATAAGAGTTTGATTTGACTCCACTTTGGAACATCTTAGGAATATGAACAATGGAAAGCTTTCGGCATCAGCAGAGCAGTCATGAGCTTTTTAAATAGGCAACTGTAGATTTCGAAATGCAATAACCTCAGGCACCCCTAGGACCGGTTTCGAGCCTATAAGCTCTCATCAGCTGGGTTCAGCCTGAAAAAAGTTTCGGAATCGCTAATATCAGGCTGATGGGAGCTAATAGACTCGAAACCGGTCCTGGGGGTGCCTGAGGTTAGCGTATTTCGAAATCTGCACACACCCATTTTATCTTAGGAATGTATGTTTTTTTGTTAAATTATACAATTCTATTTACTATGCATTTTTTAGTATCTCTGCTTGGAATGTGAGCTTTGTTGAATGCAAACAATATTATTTTGGATATGATGTTGGATTGCATTCGAATGGATCAATGAATTTTTGTAGGTAAAAGTAGATAAAAGAAGACGTAATTTGCATTTGTCAGATGAAGTCAAGGTAAGTGTTGGCTTCTTTTAACAGATTATTGGCTGCTTTTAACTACTTATGTAAGTTTTTTTGAGAATGAGTAATCAATTAATATATTTAGAGATTTTTTTTATGCTTTTTGAGAATAATTATTTGTAAGCTCTTTAGAAGTTTCATCGTATTTTCGCCATGCAACTTCTCCATAGTTTTGGCCAGACACTGAACTAAGTATAAATAGTAAATAAATAGAAAGAAGAACTGAGTAAAAAAGGAAAAAGGTCTTTTTCATTAACAATCCACATTAAAGAAAACTAGTTTCAATACGTTGCGATTTTTTATTTGAAATTAACAGAAAAATAAATAACAATAAATTAAAAGTGAGCGCTCAAATCTGAGTTGAAGAGTCTTGTGGTTAATTTTGCCCTCTGTAGGCAAGTTGGGCAGCGGCGTCCCTTTTGTGTCGGTAAATTGGCGATCCGTAAACGGGGGCTGGTGCCACCACTGGAACGGGTTGAGGTACCAACTGGGGTGTGATGAAATCTATATGGTGAGAGTCCAAGTGGGGGTAGTGTACCACTTCATATTGCTGAAAAAACAGATATTTTTAAATGTATTTATTATATTGAATATTATCGCTTTTGTTAAGCTGCAGAAGACTTATCCTTAGACTGTTTTTCCAACAGAAATTTTTTGTAATACCCAGTCAAAGACATTTCGATGCTGGTTACATTGTTATGCTACTAAGTCAACATTTTTCGAAAGCAGAGATCAAACCGGAAGGCAAATGCATGTTTGTTTAAACATTTTCTGCAGTATTTTTTCATTCCATGGTTGATATTTTTTGCTTCTTCTTATGAGTTTTGGCATAATTTGTAACAAATCGAACAAGTTAATGTTGCTATACTTACGGGTGGTTTGACGAATTTGGAGAAAATTGCCACGGCACCAGTTAGAACCACAGAAATAAGTCCCAATGTTAAGGCTTTCCAGGTCTTCAGGGCAATTAAGACTAAGGCCAAAGGCACAAGAACGGCAGTGTTGAATTTAAGTCCCAGCAGAAATGGGAAGATCACTTTCTTGACAATTTTTGAAGAACGGCCTGAAAATGAAATCTTTATTTCAAAAATTGCGTTCTTTGATATTTTTCGTTTAAACATTACGTAATGGTTGCATATTTTTCAAAAATTAATTGACAATAGGAAAAAATGAAGATAATTAAAAAAGCAAAGACAGTGAATTGTTTGTTTAACTTGAACCTAATGTGTAGGTTTTCAAGAGAAGCTGTTGAAAGTTTTTTATAATTGATATTAATTTATTTACCTGTCGCTGACAAAGGTACCTGGATGGGTTCCGCTTCAACGAAGCTTCTGGGTACCATACTCGTTAATGGTCCGTCTGATTTGAGGACAGACGGAACCTTAGCCAGCAAATTGTATCCTTGCAGGAAGTTGTCGAATCGATCCAAAATATTTTCATTTTCAAATCCGCGAACCTAATTAAAACCCAAAAGATATTTGTTCAAACATTTTTTCTATTTATTCAAGAACCATGATTCTATTACCTGTTCATGATGCCCATTTTTGAGTAGAATTAAATCCTCAGTCAATTTGATCGAACCCTTGTTGGAAACATTATTCCACCACAAAAGCGCTTTCGGTTTAGCGCAACTAACAGAAAAATGTTGCAAACAGGACTTGTAAATATCCTGCGCTACATCCACAGCCGATGGATCCGACAATACGACACTTACTATCCCGAAAACGATCAAACTTTTTAAACCCCACATTTTCCTGTTTAGGGAGTATCGATCAGAACAATCAACCGTTGTTATGATCGATATTGATTACTGAATGATAATCGGATTGATGTGTAAGTGGCTTTATAAACTAAACAAACGGAAGTAGCAAAGCAAAGTTTTCATGCCTAAATTGCGACCCCGATATTATTTTAGTTTGCTCTTTTATATGGTAGCGTACTTTTGCATATAGATTTGTCAGGCCCATGTTGGCAAATCGTTTATAGGCGCTTACCTACTGATCCACATCCTGCAGCATTTGTTGAGGGCAGTCTGAAGTAATATGAAAAGTTTCACTTTTATCCTTTTGGACATTGAAATGCCACTGAAAGCTGTGGAATTATTTAGGAAAAATAATAAAAGTAATTTTGCTTTGGTGGCTTCGGCCAAGTGTGGTTTAAGTAAAAATTAGTATACTAATAAATAGACATTTGCTTTGCAGGCAACAGGATTTAAGTAGATTTGCAGCAGTTGGGGAAACAAACGCTTTTTTGTTAAGTGACGGGTTTTTCAAAAGTGTGTTGAATTCAGGATCTTTATTGCGTACTTCTACCTCAAACGCTAGTTGTTTCTAGGAAATTTTTAATACATTGTTTTACAAATTCAACTGTTCCACTATTCAACCTCCAAATAGTGGAAAAGTTTATTTTTTGCAAAATTTCATTTTAATTTTAATTCGTCTTAGATGCATTTCAACTCAGATATTTGAATAACTAGTCAACTCAATTGTTGTTTTTAACTTCAATGTTAACCTAATTTTGTTTAAATTGCTGTTGCAATAGCAAAAGTTAATCTTTCGCGGTAATCGCCTGAAACTGATGGGTTTTTGGGATTTAAGACCCTCGAAGAAAAAACTTCTTCCCAAACGTTTCGCTAGCCACTCCTGCTTACGTATCACCAAGAAGCATTTCTTTTACACGACAGTTCAAAAGCACGAAAACGTTTTGACTGTGCTTGGCTTAATTTTGATCCAAAATTATATTTTCAAGATTAAACTTCGCTTTATTATACTTTTTTTCTTGCGACATATTTGAGCGCCAATTAAGTATTGTTGTTTGTTAGTTTATTTGCAGAGAAGTAACTAATTGGAATTAATAAAATATTATATGTTTCCTGTTATTGATTTTCAACTGTGGTTTACAGATTTAGCTCACTCATTTATCTGTAGTGATCAAATTTTTCTTCTACACTTTTCACTGTTTGTTGCGTCGAACAATAAAATGTGTTTTTATTTGCCTTGTGAATGTGTATTTGATGAACATAATGCTATTGCTCTAAGTATTATTTTTCTGCCTCCATCATTGAACATCTGGGGCAAGGCAAAATTGCATAATTTTTAATATTCTACGTCTCCTATTTTTGTTTGATATTTTTTCTTCTTCAGTTGATGGATCACTAAAAATGCTTGATATTCTCACTTAGTGTTAATTTTTTGCTTATCTCATAGACTTTTGAAGAAGTGCAGAATGCAGCTCAGATAATTCTGAGCTTAGCTAAAATGGTTTTTACACGAAACGATGTGCGATTAACAGCAACCTCAGCAATTGAGACAATACGCGATCAAAAATTCAATTATAACAATTCCTGGCCTTGCACCCACACACTGTTGTTATTTTCATAGCTTTGAAAGTGTCTATAAATTATTCCTTTATTTTTTTCTACCGAAGTGTTATGGTTTCAGAATTGGTTCATTCTCCAAGAAAGTACATTTGGTGATTTATTTACGATTATTCTGCGTTTAACTTGCCAGCAGCAACTGCTTAAGTAATTAACTAATTAAATAGTGAGTCTCAGAAATGATGTTTACATTTTCAAAATTCAGCGGACTGTTTTTTGCACAAAAGTTCGGACCCGTCAATTTTATGTGTAAATGTTATTTTTAATACTAAATTTATTTAGTTATTTGGACCAAAAATAAATTTCACCATCAACTTATTTTTCTCAAACTTCTTAGTATGATGCAGATAACATGTGCTAAACTGAAGCTCAATCGTTACCGAGAAATGTGCGATTGGATTTTTTGGTATAAAAATTGACGCGTTCAAGCTTTTTTCCAACAAACAGCCCGCTGAATTTTAAATCAATTTAGACATTAATTCTGGGACTCACTGTATAGAACCATCGGCAATATTTGTAAACACAAATAATAATAAAAATAATTTAAAAAAATGAATCCAGATTCTTAGCAGGTCAATGTTCCTGATCCATATTTGTTTTATTGTTTAACAAATTAAAGCAAGATTTATTAAAAATAGCCGAACGTAACTATTTTATTATTATTAATTTGAAGAAATTCGAATTTTGTACTTGTCTCTTTAACAAATGGTTAGGAAAACTAAATAAAACGCAATGAGATTGAGTGAAATGCACACAAAAAAACTAAGCAGGCACACTTTGAATCATGGTTTTATTGGTAAAATAATTTAAGTTTTTAGCGGTTTCTCTATTTACATTCAATAAATTAATAAATTACTCGGCGGAATAAGCGTTGTAGGCCATTTCTTGGGCATTCAACTCTCTTCCGTATCCTGGATGTTCCCAGCCACTGGAAACTGGTGGATGATCAACAACGTGATGGTCCAGAACGTGATGGTCCAGAACGTGATGATCTACGTGTTGTGGGTAGTGAATGACTTCGTAATTCACAGCCTGTGAAAAACAAGGTTTTAGACAACATTCTTTATTTCTTATGAACTTTGCTTACCTTTGGTTTGGTAAGCTTGAAAATTAGTAAAGCCCCAGTAAGCACAAGGGAGAGAAGTCCAAGGGTGAGGGCTTTCCATGTTTTCAGAGCAATCAAGGCCAAAGCCAGAGGAACCAGAACGGCGGTTTTGAATTTCAGACCCAGCAGGAATGGAAGAATCACCTTCTTTACAATTTTTGATGATCGACCTGCAAGTGGGCTTAAAATAAATCCAATCCATTCAACTTACTCTGGGAGGACTTACCAGTTACAGCCAGAGGAACTTTGAGTTCTTCGGGTTGAAATGAGCGGGGCACAAGGCTTCCAAGTGGGCCGTTGGGGTTCAAGATCGCTGGAGGTTTAGCCACCAACTCATGAGTTTGCAGGAAGTCCTCGAACTTTTCGAAAATATCTTCTTCTAAACCTCGTCCAACCTAAAACCCATCACATCTCAACACTCAATATCAGACGCTTATAGCTAGAACTGACCTCAACTTCAGCCGGATTATCCTTTTTCAACAAAACCAAGTCCTGGGTAATCCTGATTTGTTCCTTGTCGACGACTTTGCTTATCCAGTGAAGAGCCTTCGGCTTGGCACATTTTAAAGATAGATCCTTTAAGCATGTTGAATAGATGTCTTGTAGAACATCAACGGCTGAAGGGTCATGGGCTGCAGCCACGGCCACTAAAGCAACAACAATCAACAGTTTTGAACGAACCATCATTGCGATCATCAATTTACTACCGAATGATAAAGAACGATTGCCATAGAAGAATTTATAGACATTGGCCCGCGGAAATAGAAACCATTTCGGATTATCGGGGCTAAACGTGAGCCGCATCAGAGCTTTTCAGGAGACTCGCGCCGGAATGTGATTAAAAGAAATTGATGACATTTTCTTTGCGATTTGAATACCAAAAGTACTCAGTTATTTCACTTTTCTTTTTATCAAACTGGATCTTCAACATACACATAAGTATTTGCCTAGAATTCGCTATAAACGAACCCCATTTAGAACAGGTGAAGCGAAGCCCATTGCACAAAAAAGTCTACAGGGTGATTCAAAATTGGCGTCATTCCTCTGCAGGTGTTGTCTGGCGCTGTTATAGGAGTACAGAAAAAATAATAAAATAAATTAATTTTTATTAAAAGCTGAGAAATTTGTACAAAACTATATCAGAAATACGGCAGCAAGGTTTTTGAAGGTAATCTGCCTAATTAACATTTCGCAAATACCTGTAGCTTCGTAATTATTTAAAATTCCGGTAACCATGGAATTATACAGACTGACAATAAGATAGACAAGGATAAACGG